ATTAACCATAAAGCGGTTTATCACCTCAATTGGAGAAATTCTTTTGTTGTATTCTTTGGCCTATATATTTATTGAAAGAGTCAAAATTTAGATGATCCTCAAAAATACCATTAGAAGGGTTTTGAGTATTCGTCGATTGAAGGCTCAATGTCAATAATGGCGTGGATGTTGAAGGAGCATCCTTTTTATTATGTTAATTTTAAGGATGCACTTGTGAAGTTCAACTATCATAACTTATAAATCATCATATATTTTTTTTATAATTTCTTTATCTTTACTTAATATACCACTTGTTTATTATGGAATTTTTCAAAGACCTATAAAGCGTAAAAAAAAGGGCGCTGCAAAAAATTTACCTAAAATTAATTGTATATTTTTATTATTTCCAATTTAATTCATTTTTTAAAAGAAAAAAAGAACAAAGTACATCCACTATTCAGTCAAAGTTGTACTAAGAGCTTATTTGGCCAAGCTTTTAAGAAGCTAAAATACAAAAAAAAAAAAAAAAAAAAAAAAAAAAAAAAAAAAAAAAAAAAAAAAAAAAAATAAAAAATTTGAGATGTTTGGCCAAGATGAAAAAGTAGTTTTGAGCTAGGAGAAAAAGCTTTTCTGCTTTTTGGTAAAAATTACAAATTCTAGCTTCTTCCAAAAGTAGAAGCATAAGTAGAAAATTAATTTATCTAGATAGAAATAACCTTACAATAAATTTATATTTTCTAAATTATTTCTCATTAATTAAATATTTTTCTTTCATTCCTTTTCCTTTTTATTTCTACCATACCTTTCTTCTCTTTTTTATTTCAATCATATTTTTATTCTCTCTTTCCTCCTAAGAGTATATTTTTAATTTATATTAAATAATATATTTTGGTGCACCGGGCTGCCCTTATTTTTTTATTAAATAATATATTTTGATATATTTAAATTATCATATAAACAATAAGTAATAATAGTACTAAATACTCAATGTTATTGCTTTGGAATAACTATATTTTATATTGATTAAAAAATTTAATTTATATTATTATTTTTTTATTTTAATTAGTTATTTTATAATAAATATTTAAATTTGTATTTTCCTTTTTAAATAATATTAATTGCAAATTTAATCTTTACTGTTTTTTTGGTAATTTTATACTTTTTGAAAAAATTGGTCAAATATAATGAGTCTCACGACCCAAAATTCCACCGCAGGCGTCGTGATGACACCTAGTCTCTAAGACTAGGTAAGTCGATTTTAATTACATTTTTGAAGCCATTTTTTAATAGAAACTAGCAGCGGAAATAATTACAATATAACAACCTCCCCAAGACTGGTAGTACTGAGTCACGAACTCTAACTGAATACATGGAATGATCACGGGGACCGAATATACAATATTGTTTGATTACAAATTAACAGTACAATGAAATGAAAAGACTCCAAGGGACTGCGACGACCAAGCAGCTCTACCTTGAATCCTTACGATCCCGCTTTAACTCTGCTCAAGTCCGATATCTCCAATACCTGGCTCTGCACAAAAATATGCAGAAGTGTAGTATGAGTACACCACGGTCGGTACCCAGTAAGTATCAAGACTAACCTCAATGGAGTAGAGACGAGGTACAGTCAAGACACTCACTAGTCTAATAACCTGTGCAATATAATATACAAAATAATATGAAACAAATAACAATAAGGGCAAAATAAAACAACCAGTGATATGCACAACAAACAACAATAATACCACTAATATCATTCAACAATTAATAAATACGAATACACCCAATTAAATCAAGTCCTTTAAATAAATATCTTTCACATATAATTCTTTTAAATAACTCTCTTTCAAATATAATTTTCTCAAATAATAACCTTTCAAATATAATTCTTTTGAATAAATCTCTTCAAATATAATTTTTCTCAAATAAATATCTTTCAGAAATAATTCTTTCAATTAAAAAGTCACCATATGACACCTTATTTCAAAATCATAAAATTACGGGTCTCAGCCCATTTTTATATTTTTCGTAAACACGGGTCTCAGCCTATTTTTCATATTTTCATGGCACCTCGTGCCCATAATTAAATCATCATATTTTTCCGGCACCTCGTGCCCTCATTTCATATCACAACTGCACGGACAATTCACGTGCCAAATATCATTATCATTTAATCACAGCACCTCGTGCCCACATTTCATTTTATAATCTACCTAGCAATAGCCACAAGCTCTCAATTTCAACATAAATCAGATTGTTATCAATTTATCAACAACAAGACGAATTGCACAAGGTATAAAAATAAACACAAGAAAATCACAACGTCACATGAAAATCATCAACACCACAACCATACATCATCACATATTATCCCTGACAATAGCCACCCTTATCGCTCCTATTGCCACTCTTATCACTCCCATAGCCACTCTTATCGATCCGCCCAGACAATATCAATAGCCACCCTTATCGCTCTTATTGCCACCCTTATCGCTCATATAGCCACCCTTATCGCTCCGCCCAGACAATATTCCAACAAACACAACAACAGTAAAATGCCACCCTTATACCCACATAATATCAACGGTGAAATGCCACTCTTATATCCTCAAAATAATAATTAACACAACACAATAATTTACACGGAAAATTATCACGACAACATAACAAAAATCAATTCATATCACAATTTGCCCAATGGCCACAACCAAAATTCCAAAGATACAACCAAATCAATTAATTTCACAACAAATAGCCGAAGGCCTCACTCAATGTGTACAACACCCAAAAATAATCAATAGAGATAGAAATTACTCAACATAAAGCAAAGTCTTCATTAAATCCAAATTTAGATAATTATATTTAAACTTCCTTTTAAACTTGCTTAATTAATTATTTTCATGAGAAAATTCATATTGAAATTAAATTCCAAGAAATATCAAACTAACAATACTCACGAAATTACATAAATTTTCAAGTAACAACCACATTAAATTATTATTTAAAAATAAATTCCACAACAAGGATTTAGGCATGGCAAATAAATGATTTAATAAATACTAACAATTATCTAAATTACTACACAATTTGCCCAAGACTTTAACTCAATGAATTTTGCACATATAAGCCCGAGTACATACTCGTCACGTCGCGTACACGGCTTTTCACATTTCACAAATGGCACATTAGACTCAATGCCTAAGGGGTAATTCCCTCACTCGAGGTTAAGCAAGACACTTACCTTTTTGAAGTTATGTCGATATTCCAAAACCGCCTTCTTGCTTGAATTGACTTCCGGACCGCTCATATCTATTCAAATCAGTTGTATAACTTCATTAAAATTCATCGGAAACAATTCCGGATAATAAAATATCGACTTAAAAATTTATTCCAAAAAGTCAACAAAAGTCAACGCGGGGCCCGCTTCTCGGACCCCGATAAAATTTCCACGAAATTCGAACACCCATTCCGATACGAGTTCAACCGTACCAATTTTATCGAATTCCAATAACAATTCGACCTCCAAATCTTAAATTTGTGGTTTATGAAGTTTCTATAATTTTTCCCAAAAATTCATCTCAAAGTACTAATTAAATGATGAAATCAGTGATATATTCATATATGTTAACCAAATTCGAGTTAGAATCACTTACCCCGATGAATTTCTTGAAAAATCACGAAATATCATCTCAAACCGAGCTCCCAAAGTCCAAAAATAAAATAATAACCTAAACTTCGGATATATAGTACATCCTCTGAACTTCCAATGTGCGGTCCGCACAAAAATGGCGCGGCCGCACATCCCCAGCTCCTGCGGTCACACAAAAATGGTGCGGCCGCACTTCACAGCCTTCTCCTCTACCAGGCTTTAGTAAATTGGCCATAACGTTCTCTACAGATGTCCGAATTATGATTTCTTTACTTTTCTGGAAACTAGACACAAAGGGCTACAACTTTCGTTTTTGAATCATCTCAAACTTCTTTGTAGATCAAAAGATATGAGCTTCCGAAGTCGGACCAGCAAATTTAAGAGTTCTTGAACGTGGCCGCACACAATTGTGCGGTCCGCGAACTCCACTGCGGACTGGAGTGTGGTCCGCACTAAAATTGTTCGATCCGCACAATTCTCCTGAGTTATGCACTTCCTTTTTTTCCTCAGCACTCCCGAAACTCAACCGGAACCTCTCGAACACAAACCATATATGAATTTCAATCATAAAACACGCTACGGACCTGCTCGTGCACTCAAAACACTGAAAAAGGTCATTTTGACCCGATATTGACCATGGTCAAACTCTCAAATTTCTTAACTTTATTAATCTCTCAACCAATGACCCAAAATATACACTTAAGCCCCTCGGGACCTCAACCAAATATACCAACACGTCCCAAAATACAATACGAATTTAGTGGAGGCTTTAAATCTCGTCAAACAACGTCAAAATTACGAATCGTGCCTCGAATCGAATTATGAGTTTTCGAATCTCCCAACTTCTATGTTTTGCGCCGAAATGTATCAAATCAATCCGGAATGACTTCAAATTTTGCACACAAGTCATAAATGACATAATGTAGGTATTCCAAGTCCCTGGTCAACTCTTTTCTTTTAAACTTCTTAAATAAGAATTGTTCTTTTAATTAAATTCTGAATCTTCCGAAAAATCAAACTCGACCACACCCGCGGATCATAATACTTATTACGAAATTGCTCAAGACCTTAAGTCACTGAACGGGGCGTTAATTCTTAAAAAGATAAGTCGGGTCGTTACAACGAGCTTGCAAAAAGTATTGTCAAACTTGGATGAGTTTATTTTAAGTGACTTTTAAGCATAAGCCATAAGTTAGAAATTCTAACTTTTAGTCATTTTATCTTAAAAATAAGTGCTTAAAAGTACTTTTTTATTTTATTCAAATACTACAAAATAATTTTAAAATAATTTTGATTTAAAAGCACTTAAAATAAGTCAATCCAAACGGAAACTATTATTTAAAAAAAAAAAAAACCTTTTGAACAAAATGAATTTCAAAATGCAGCTTGGCCAAGCCAGGTTTTAACAACTGTTAAGTACACTCTTCATCTTCCATCAACAACCACAGCTAAAGTTTCAGAGAAAAAACTCAACAGCAGCAATGAAATCCGCAGCAATTTTCAGAAGTTTCTCGAATCTTCCATCAGGCCAAACTCCAAACTCAGCTCATCGGCGCGTAGCTGAGCGACTCCTTTTACTGCCGAAGCCAAGCGCTTCACTCCCGAAAAAAGTAGGTAGCAGTAGCAGTAGTAAAGCCAGAAGTAAAACATCTGCTTGCGACACAATCTCCGCTAGCTATGGGGATAAGGAATCGGATTCTGTTAGTTCTAATGAGTATACTTCTCCGGCGAAGGCACTCCGGAAACTTCTAGAATCGCCGGGAATTCATCAAGGTCCTGCTTGTTTTGATGCTCTCAGTGCTAAGCTTGTTGAGCGCGCCGGCTTTGATTTCTGCTTTACAACTGGTATGTCTTTTATTTTGTTTTTTAAATATGCCTTACTATGTTTAAATCATTTTTGTTTTTACTTATTTGGTTGTCTCGATTTAATTTCTCCTTTGAGGAGTATCAATTATTGGAATATACTCCAGTCTCAAACTATAAAATTCTCTGTTTAAATTCAGAGAATTCATGGTAATGTGACTATTTTTAAGCTAGCTGTTGCCGTATAGCTATGGTTCAACTTTAATTGGGCTTGGGACTGGCTATACTTGTGGAGCTCTCAATGAAAACAGTTGATCAATTTGTAAAAGAATGAGCATCATTGATTGTTGAGGGAGTTCTTCAAATAAGGTTTTCTGATTATTTTGACATGTTTGATTATTGGAAATGATGTTGAGAGTTTCATTTGCTTGGAAAATACTCGAGAATAGTGTGATCAGCTAAATTTTGAGTGTTGGGTATATTAAGGTGTAAAAGACAATTTGGATTTTCACCATCTCTGAACTTGACAAAAGCAGCATGAAGGTGCAGGCTTGTTTTGTGTGAACCTGAAGATTACAAAGGAGGAGACGTCATGTTGTGTCAGATGGGACACTTGACCTTGTTTGCGTGAAAATCGTAAAAGTAATGGATTTGATGTTATCAGCTATTGTATGTGCTGGAAATGTTGATGTTAAAATGACTCTCTTGTTCAGACCACTATGAAAATAGTATTATGGAGCCTTGACTAAGGGAAAGGCTCAGGAGTTGAGGGAGAAGCCGTTGGCTATGGGGGCCTGGAGGAGTAGTGGGGACGCGAGTAGTATGTGGACAACGACAGCGAACTGCATTAGGGAAGCTGCTAGGGAGGTGTTAGGGGTCTCGAAGGGTTACTCGGGTGGCCACAAACGGGACTGGTGGTGGAATTGGGAGGTCCAAGGAAAAGTGGAAGCTAAGAAAGCGGCGTATTTAAAGCTAGTGGGGAGCACGAACGAGGAAGAGCGGAGGTCGTATAGGGAGTGTTATAAGAAGGCAAGGAGAGAGGCGAATTCGGGGTCACGACGGCTAAGACTGCAGCTTTTGAAAGATTGTATGAGGATCTTGGGAGCAAAGGAGGGGATAAGAAGTTGTACAAGTTAGCCAAGATTAGGGAGAGAAAGGCTCGGGACCTGGATCAAGTGAGTTGCATCACATACGAAGATGGTAAGGTTTTGGTGGAAGAGGCGTGTATCAGGCATAGATGGCAGGAGTACTTCCATAGACTCTTAAACGAGGAAGGGGATAGAAACATCGTGATGGGCGAGTTGGAGAACTTAGAGAGTCGGAGAGATTTTGGGTTTTGTAGGCGTATTAAGTGCGAGGAGGTTGATGTGGCAATACAGAAGATGGGCAGGGGTAAGGCGACTGGGCCTGACGAGATCCGGTGGAATTTTGGAAAGTAGCGGGTAGGGTAGGCTTGGAGTGGCTAACTAGCCTGTTTAACGTCATTTTCAAGACGAAGAAGATGCCCGAAGATTGGAGGTGGAGTTTGATGATTCTGTTGTACAAAAACAAAGGTGATATCCAGAACTGCAACAACTATAGGGGTATCAAGCTGCTGAGTCACACTATGAAGGTTTGGGAGAGGGTGGTGGAGCAGAGAGTGAGGACAAGTGTATCTATCTCTGAGAACTAGTTCGGATTTATGCCGGGACGGTCAACTACATAAGCCATTCACCTTTGTGAGACGATTGGTGGAGCAGTATATAGAGAGGAAAAAAGACTTGCACATGTGTTCATTGACCTTGAGAAGGCTTATGACAAAGTCCCGAGGGAGGTGCTATGGAGATGTTTGGAGGTTAGCGGAGTCTCGGTAGCGTATATTAGAGTGATTAAGGACATGTACGAAGGTGCTAAGACTCGGGTGAGGATTGCGGGAGGAGACTCGGAACATTTCCCTGTGGAGATGGGGTTGCATCAGGGATCAGGCCTTAGCCCGTTTTTGTTTGTCCTAGCGTTGGATGTGCTGACACGACACATACAAGGGAGGGTGCCATGGTGTATGTTATTTGCTGAAGACATAGTTCTGATTGACGAGACGCGAGGGGGTGTTAACGCTAGGTTGGAAGTTTGGAGATAGACGCTGGAGTCCAAAGATTTCAAGTTGAGTAGGTCGAAAACTGAATACTTGGAGTGCAAGTTCAGTGATGAGAGGCATGAAGAAGAAGTGGAAGTAAAGATTGATACCCAAATCATTCCCACGAGAGATAGTTTCAAGTATCTTGGGTCTATGATCCAAGGCAACGGGGAGATTGACGAGGATGTTACCCACCGCATTGGAGCGGGTTGGATGAGATGGAGGCTTAGTTTCGGGGTTTTATGCGATAAGAATGTGCCGCCTAGACTTAAGGGCAAATTTTACAGGGTAGTGGTTAGACCGGCTATATTGTATGGAGCTGAGTGTTGGCCCGTCAAGAAGTGTCATGTTCAGAAGATGAGCATAGCCTGAAATGAGGATATTGAGATGGATGTGTGGACATACCAAGAAAGACAAGATCAGGAATGAAGTTATTAGGGATAAGGTGGGAGTGGCATCCGTGGAAGCCAAGTTGCGGGAATCGAGGCTGTGATGGTTTGGGCATGTGAGAAGGAGAGACATAGATGCCCCAGTCAGGAGGTATGAGAGGTTGACCATGGCGGGCTTGAGAAAGGGCAGGGGTAGGCCAAAGAAGTATTAGGGAGAGGTGATTAGGCAGGACATGTCGGTGCTTCACCTAACCGAGGACATGACTAGCGATAGGAAGGTGTGGAGGTCAAGGATTAGGGTGGTGGGTTGACAAGTAGTTGTGAGTTTCTCTTAGGTTTACCAATAGTACTAGTAATATTCTTGTTGTTGGTTGAAAGTTACTTCCTTTTAGTTTGTTATTATATCTGGTACTTAGCAACCTCGTCCATTGTTTTTGAAAATTGCTACGAGAAATTGTTGCTCCCTGATTGTTACTATTTGATGCTACTCTTTCTCCCTTTTACTGGAAATTGTTGCTCCCTGATTGTTACTATCTGATGCTACTTTTTCTCCTCATTTTCCTTATCGTCTTTTGTCTCCCTCGTCTTTTTTTCTCCCACCTCTTTCTTCTTCTTCTTCTTCTTCCCTTTTCTTCCTTTCCACCTTATCTTAAGCCGAGGGTCTATCGGAAACAACCTCTCTACCTCTCCAGGTAGGGAAAAGGTCTGCGTACACACTACCCTCCCCATACCCCACTTGTGGGATTATACTGGGTATGTTGTTGTTGTTGTTGGATATTGAAGACAATAGATAGAGCCATTAACCTCTTGGCTGCAGAATGATTTTCTGATATCTTTCAGGAGTTGATATGAATTTCTCATGATAGTGATGAGCAAATACGAAGGGAAAGTCAGAACTTTGCTACAAAATTCGTCCTCCCTATTGAATTTCATGAAAATTTTTGTGGCATATTTTAATTTGTTTAGTTTGATGGAAGTTTCTCCAGTAAGGAAGAGCTCAAACTACTTGTCAATGCTCAAGCAACTTATGGCTAGTCCGAAAAAAATTTCCAAAAATGCTCAAGTAACTCATATAAAAAATCTCAAAATGGTAATGCAGGGTGTGAAAAGAGCAGCTTCCTCGCTAAACTGTCCATTCTTTCTTCTCTGTCTAAAAACTACCTCTCTCATGTGAAATAAAATGCCCAAGCCCATATAAGTGGATCTTGTCGTGTAACAAAAGTTTCTTTCTTTTAATTAGCTAGTAAAATATGAAGTCACGAGATAAGCCTAGGGTGAGACTTTTTTGCTCTTAAGTTAATTGTGGAATTAAAAGAATTTATAAGCATCTTTTGTAGTTCTTGCTAGGTTTATGCATACTACCTGGTTAATGGCTTCATAGTGTTGCTAGTTTATCCATCCAGTACCTCGGAATCTCAGCTCCAACCATTCTGCTGTTGGGGCAGCTCGTGGAGGCGTTGAGGTGTGTCTTGTCTCTACAGACTGTAGGTACTGGAAATTAACTAAAGTGCTGTATTGGAAGATTCACTGCATTAGTGTTTCAATCTTCTGCTTTAACTAAGAATGGATTTATAGTGTGTTGGCCAAATACTAATAATATGTTCTTTCTTAGCTAATATCTGTAAAACATCTGTCAGGTTTTGGAATATCTGCCACACGATTAGGAGTGCCAGATACAGGACTAATTTCTTATGGAGAGATGGTGGCTCAAGGTCAAGAGATCACACAAGCAGTGTCCATACCAGTAATTGGAGATGGAGATAATGGATATGGTAACGCCATGAATGTCAAGAGAACTGTGAAAGGATATATTAGAGCAGGTTTTGGAGGAATAATTCTCGAAGATCAGGTTTGTGTCGGTCTAGCTTTTTTATCCTCTACTGTTTGCCTGAGTATTCTTGTTTCATTTCACAACTCTTTATGATTTTTTCTACTTCCTCCTCTTGAAATGGTGTTAGCAGATGTTCATTTTCCTCCTCAATTAATCTGTAAATGCTGTCTCTTTTGAAGGCTGGACCCCATTTTTCCTCTCCTCTATAAAAGTTCTTATAGAAATTGACAAGGTCCTTGATTTCCACTGGGTTGTCAATAGAAGTGCCATTTAAATTTCAGCTTGTCTATTTGGTTGCATCTCTTATGTGCATTTTCCATTTAGTGAGAGACTTCGTGTTCATGTCTCCCTCCTTTTTCCTTAAAATCTGAACTTCTGTCTCCAAGAGATTTCTACTGCTTAGACAATTTTTTGGAATTCCACGAGCAGAGAGATCGACTCAGCATGCTTAGCTTCACGTAATGGTCTTGTTTCTTTACACTTTGATTTGAGAGGGGGTAGTAGAAAGGAACCTGGAGTTTCAGAATTTTCCTTTCTCGTGTATGATTTGCAAGGAACATTGTGTCAAAGAATGTAACTTCTATTGGACACACTTATTTAGTTGAATCAGAAAGCAAATGAGTTCAAACTTCCTCCTTCCCCATCTTTTATTCAATCCAAACAACAGAAAGAAATGTATATATTTCACACCCTCCACCATTGTCATTTCCTCTTTCTGCAGTACCTCTTGCTGAATCTTTTTGGTTATTGAGTTAGTATCATGAATAAGTTTTCATCCTCTTCCTTTCTTTTTTCTCTCTCTTACCATTCATGTAAATAACAGTTGTACATTCGTATTTAGAAATGTCCAGTAATCAAGTCACAAGTCAATCGACTTTAGATAACTTGGTTATAGATATTAAATATATTGATTTTCATGGGTTTAACTCCAAAGATTTCAAATGAGTCATCTCACAAACTGCAAAATTTCGGATTTTGATTATAAATCTAAGCTAGCGCTCCAGGATGTAAATATTTTAGGTTTCATAGTACAGATTATAATTTATAAGACCTATATAGACAAAAACTACTGTGCTAGAACGACATTCTTGCCAAACTTAACGTTTCTGTGGTTGACTTTTAGCTGTTGTACATGCTATTAGAGATGGCCGCTTTCCCTTGTTTAGGACTCAAATTAAGGTGAAGCATTTAGCAATGAGCAGAATTGCAATTTACTGAATTGTAATTAACATTCAAACGTCATGTATTATACTTCTCCCGGCTTTATCTAATACTTTTATTCATCCAAAAAATTGTACTTTCTCCCTGCTTTGTGTATTTTTGGCTTAATTAATACTTATGTCAAAAGTTAAATCCTTTACAGCATATAGCTGAAAGCCTGAAAATTCGTTTTTTTTTTTGTGAATCCCCTTTTCCCACCTCAACCATGTTTTTGGACTTAATCGTGTATGATGCTGTTTCTGTAGGTTTCTCCCAAAGCATGCGGTCATACACGTGGCAGGAAGGTCGTCTCTAGAGAGGAAGCAATAATGAGAATAAAAGCGGCTGTTGATGCTCGAAAGGAAAGTGGATCTGACATTGTGATTGTGGCACGTACTGATTCTCGTCAAGCAGTCTCTTTTGAGGAAGCACTTTGGCGGGCACGTGCTCTTGCTGCTGCTGGAGCTGATGTTCTGTTCATTGATGCTCTTGCTTCCATTGAAGAGATGAAAGCTTTCTGTGATGTCTATCCACTGGTTCCGAAGATGGTATGCCTTCTTTCCCAGATTTTGCATTGGGTAGCATGTTTATATTGTTCTAATATAGAAAGCTCCACTGTAATATATCTATTCTACTTGGTGGTGTCCGTATGCCTCTGTCTCAGAATGAAGTAGTTGTGATCAATCTTTCTCCTGGTCAGGGCTTTGAGTTTTGTTATACAGGAGAAACTTCCAGCATCCATTTGGTTCAAACATTTCTGATAAGGCTTATACAATTGCATCCAGGCAAATATGCTTGAAGGTGGTGGTAAAACGCCAATACTCACTCCTATTGAACTTGAGGAACTTGGATACAAAATTGTGGCATATCCACTTTCCTTGATGGGGGTATCAATATGTGCAATGCAGGTTAGATTTTGTACTTCGTATTATCTTTTCTTACAGCAATTTTGCTTATTCATTCAGGTTTTACAGTTAGGTGCATCCTGGAGTATACACATAGAAACAATACACTTGCGCTATAGATCAAACCAACCCAGAATTTCCTTTTCCACCCTTAAAGCAAGTATGACGGTGGCCCCATGAGAATAACTTCAGAATACGGAAATCACTTACAAACAAACTGCCCCTTCTGCTTCCCTACTTGAGGAATATATTTTCTTCTTTCTTTTTCTCTTTTTATTTTTTAGTTTTTAGATTTAGTCATCTCAACGTTTCTTATACTGTGAGAAGTTGCACTTTTTGGACAATGTGGAGCAAGCATTGAGAACAAGGTATATAAGCAGCAGAGTACTATGCAGTGAGAGGCTATAAAGCTATAGTAAATGTTTATGTAGTTTGTGGTTTAGAGTGTTGAGCAAACAATCAAAATACCCTTCCCCGATTGTTCTACCGTGGAAGAAGTATTTAGGCAACATGCGAAGAAATGGCTTTCTATAGAGGACTCTTTATGTAGACCAACAAGATGCATTTAGCTTGCTGTTCTTCCATTAAATCAAGCATATCTTTCTGAGGCGTGGAAGGGCTTCACTGAGTAAGTCATCATGTGTAAGAAGTCAGTCATTGGTTTTCTTTATATTGTTTCTAATTCTATTTTTTTTTCATCCTGCAATTTCTCCAGGATGTGGATAAAAGAAATCTTGAAACAAAAATAGCTGCATATCTCCCCACACAATTAGCTTTTAAGTGGAAAAAATTAATCCTTTGCCAACGACTGGCTTGAGTTATAGACCCCATGACAGCTGGCCTAGAAAAATTTCTTCTGCACGACATTTAAAAAAAAAAAAGAGTTGCTCTGTTAACCAGTTACTGACATCTTCAGGATGCACTATCTGCCATTAAAGGAGGTCGGATACCTTCACCTGGAAGCATGCCTTCATTTGAAGAGCTAAAAGAAATCCTAGGCTTCAATACCTACTATGAAGAAGAGAAGCGTTATGCAACAACAAGCAGCCAACTTCCTTCTCTGAAAGGTGAGCAAAGTTGTCAAATAGGCTAAGTATTTGAAAAGTCAATTTGGATTCAGGTCTTGTGCAGATCCTCTTAGTACAGATCCGAAGACATTTATTTACCCCATTTCCACATTTTAATTTCAGGCAATTTCTCATCAAGAAGCAACGAGTATGGTGTTCAACCTGGCATCCCAGCTGATACTGAACAGAGGGGTCAAATACCACAGAACCCTGTTGAGGTACTGATTCCTGAGGTGTATGACAAATTTCCTGGAGAGGGTGCAAAAGGAAATTTCTCAGGGATCTGGTCTCGGAAATTAAGAGTAAAAATTA